GAAAAAACCATGCATTCAAGGGAGGTAGTGTCAGCTCATTTTTTTTTTGTTGCCCCGTGCGTTATCGTGCGTTTTTTTCTGTGTGCAATTTCATTTCGCACACGGCCAATCCTTACCACCCGATCTATATAGGTCTGTGCCGTACAGTGCTCCATGCATTCTTTGCTCGAATAGGTCGATTCCTTTTGCACCTCCAGATAGATACCTATATAGAGCTTCCACTAATGGTCGCCAATTCCTGGTTTAAGGTGAGTTCTTTTTCATTGTCCCTAGGGGTCAATCCCCTTCTCGGGGATTTTTCCCAGGTTCCTTAAATCCATGAATGAGTACCTATATATATACTTTTCCAGTCTTTGATACGTCCGGACTGGGCACCTTCCATGGAAGAACCCCTCCCCACTGAAGCACCGAAGACCGCGACCCTCCAGGATAACGGTCAAACACCGAAAACCGTGACCCTGGTGGTGAATGTGGGGAGACCTGCCAAATCGTGCAGAGCTACTCTCTTGGCACAATACATACCTCCCGAAAAAAACGGGCATATGGCATATATCACATGGCCATACTCGATGCCAAGCAGAATTCGTGGTGAAGTACGACCAGGGCGCCCTGAGCCCCGACGCATCGGTGCCGTACTCGATCAGGAGATGACCGGCCCCTTTTGGCGTGCGCGGGGCATCATCACCAGCCGAGGCCGTGGCCGTGAGTGGAGCAGCTGGGGACTTGTCCTCGAGCCCCGTTCGTAGCGTGTTTTGCTCCTAGTAGTAAGGCCAGGAGCCCCGTTCGTAGTGTTCTTGCTCCGTTCGTAGCGATGCCCTTTGCTTCTAGAGTAGCTTCTTGCTCCTAGTAGTAAGGCTGCGTTTGTTCTCTTAATTCTAGTGACAGGCTTTGATCTTTCATGCTTGAGAAAGAAAGACCTTCCATGGGACTGGAGACGAGCTTCCATGGGACTGCTGTTGCTCGGTCGGTGGGCTGATGTGGGCTGCTGCACGCAGCATTCGTCCTTTTACCTACATTGCGGTGGTTGATTTCAGGCTATTTGCAGGGGTCCATGGGACGGCATACATTCCAGTTCCCAACCTATAATGTATGCAACAATATTACCTATGTATACCTATTATTTGTTTACTCTCTCCAGAACTTACGAGGAAGTAGTTCTCCTATCCCCTTCCTCGTTTAGCATTTTACTGGAGGGTCTGCATGTTATATGTTGGTGTTGGGTAAGACTTCTTCCTCGTAAGTTTGACACGCTAAACTTGCTAGACTTGCTCGACTTCCTCGTTTGTCAGTGCAAAAAACTAGAATGTCCAGAAGCATTTAGCTACCAAAGAAGCCTACCAAAGAAGCCTACCAAAGAAGCCTACCAATTGTGCTGTTATTCTTCCTTGTTAGCTCCCAACCTATGAAAATGTAAAGCAACTCTGGCTTACCTGGAAGTGTATCTCCCTGGTCATTTTCCAGCGTTCCCCGGGGATGCATGGGCGCTCGACTTCCTCGGTAGTGAGCATTGCATTTTCTGGCCTTCTTCGTTTGCTGATTGGGCTTACCTGTCTGTGGTCTATTCCCGGGGGGATTTACATGGTCACCAACTTCCTCGTAAACAGCGTCCTCGCCGAGATTTACTTCCTCGTAAGTTCTGGGGAGTGTAACTTATACATCGGTACATCGACCCTTGAACAGGATTCAATAACCATCCAACCATATCCATACATCTCAAGTACTGTTTGGGCCTTGATTTGGGAGGAGGGCTTTAATCCCTTTCACCTTCCAACGGGTCACCTGGCTGGACAACCCTGCACTACTTCTAGGTTTGCATTGGGGATCCCAATGAATTGGAAGCACGCACGGAATTCTTTTATTTTTCGTGGCGCCTTGGCGAGGCTTTTGGCCGGAGTCACCCAATTTGGCCTGCGAGGCGGCCGGTGGACGTGGAGGAAGGGATTGACGACCCAAAAATGGTGAGAGTACTGAGTACTGCATGGTACTTGGTGGAGTTGTTGGTGTAACTCTCCCAGTTGGGAATATTGAATATCATGTATCCCAGTTTGGGACATGCGAGATCAGTCACTTCGAGATCAGGGACACTTAAAGATTCTTGAACCTCCCTTTCACTTTTTGCACATGATCATCAATTGAACGTTCGGAGCAAGCCGGCCGTTCCTGTCCATGAAAAGCCCGCCATGAACTGGGCAGCGTTTTCGTGGCCGGCCACGTCTACCTGGTCTACCGGCTCAGTTCCACCCCCTCACCGCTCAGATGGAGCGCCGCGTGGTGGCCGACGTGGCCCGCAAGAAGGCCACACGCCTCACCGGCGTGTTGTCCGGGCGCCCCGGAGACGGCGAAGCAAAGGATGGACTTCAGGTTTTACCGCTTATGAGGATGCAGTTGTGGGGGGGGTTGGTTGGTGAGGATGCAAGGTTGGAAAGACAGCAACTGAATTCATGGTTCATGCTGCTAATGGTGTTTATAAAGATGGCATCCTGTAGCATTTGTAGCTAGCAAAGGCTAGGAAGGAATTAGCTGCATGTCAGGACCGTGGACCGCGGCTCCAACCGCCTGTGTTCCGCTGTCGCCATCGGTTCAAGCCGCGGATCGCTCCGGTTCGCGCGACGAATCGCCGCCATGATCAAGCTTCGTGTGGAAGCGCCCTGGAAGCCGGAAGAGCTTCCGCACGAGACAGAGGACGAGGGGCCGCGGCCCGCGGACGTGCACGGGGATGTCGGGCGACCGGCGGATGGCCCGGGTGGGTGTGAGGAAGCACCTCATGATGAGCAAGCACCCATTTTTCGTGGGGTGGAGGTGATTGCTATATGGAATCATGTGTGCGGGTTCTCAGCAGTTGATCCTGTCAAAAAAAAGGTGTTTTTGTTCCTCAAGCTGGTGGGTTCTTGGAGCGAAAGAACATGGACGGTTGTGAAGGAAGGTACATATATACATATGTTCTTTTTTCTGTCTCATGAGGAAGCTGATGGGGCATGGAAAAGGTTGGTGCAGAGATTTCCAAGAGGCCTTCATCGAATCTTGCACCTTTGGGGTTCTCCTCAAAGGATCCATGGGACAGCAACTAATGTAGACTCTGGATTACTAAACCCATGGAAACCCCCCATACCCGCACCCTCCAACAGGTCACCACCTGCAAGTCTCCAAAAGCCACCAAAGGAGACCTGTTGGGAAATGGTTGGAGCCCTATAGGGTATATTCAATGAGGTTAATTACAGATGAGAGATCCATGTTTGAATATGTATTAACCTCATTAAAGACTGTTCCTGGTTGATGTCTAACGTTTGAATATGTATTAACGTGGTTAATTAACAACCTCTAAGAGGCTATTTGTAGACACCCCTTGGTGTCGGTCCTGGTACTGTTCCCAAACTGGATCCGGCACCAGTGACCTCTTGGGCCTTGGGCGCCGTGCACGGAGGAGCAGGAACTGGCGGAAATGGTCACATGCGTTAGCAGTGGAGAATTGAAGTGTTCCCTGCAACCTGCAGAGCGGCCTGGTCGAAGCGACGTGGGAATTGGGTGGAATTGGGTGGAAAAGCGAAGAAGAAAAGCCGAGAAAAATGGGATGATCACTATATGAAGTCACTGGTTGTTGGAAGTATTGGTTTGAAATGTTGCTGTCCAAGATGTACTCAGATGAAAACTATCCATCAATGAATCTAAAATGTCCCGGGAAAGAAAAAGTTGCACGTGGGACTCCGGCTGTTTCATCCATGTCCGGGATTTATTTGCCAACGAATGGCGCTCCTCACAAAGATGGAAGTGGACGGCCCTGGGGTAGCCGGGTAGCTGCTGTCATGTGTTTTTTGTTTTTGCTAGGGTAGTGTGTAGGAAGCAAAATTGCCCGTGATTTTGTTTGGGTGAACCATGGTGAACATGTGTCGTTTTCTCCTCGTTTCGAACAAGCAAATCCAAGCGTCTATTGCCTTACTTGCCCGTCAATCTCCGCCTACTAGGCTTCCAGACGACGACCTTTGCCCAAGCGACGAGAAAGAGTTACCAGGCTTGTCTGACATGTGCAGCACACGGAGCAGCAGCGAGAGGTGCTTTGGTTAGCAAACGCCGCGACTCAATGGGAGTGTGCCAAAGTGGGAACCAAGCAGTTTTATAACTGCATCATGTATCATTTATAATTTATACCCATTTATACTGTACTTGTAACTTATCACCCAAATCCCTCCCCTTCCACTCTTTTTCACTCAGACTTACTCGGACGATGGTGGACATTGCTGTAGCAGTGTGTGTAGAGACAGAACAGCTCTCCATGTGTGTTTGAGTGGGAAGGGCTGGGTATGACCCACTCCATGTTTCGGGAACGGCTCGAAGGGTACTTTTGAGGCTCAGAGCGTTGGTTCAGAAAAGGGGTCCTGGTGGTTTGTGGGGTGGGGTGGTTTGTTGGATTTTGGGGGGTTTGCCAGGGTGTTTTTTCAGGCTCCGAACATGATCACCCAAGCTCTGACCGCTCACTTTCGTTCCCCCCTGGCCCACGGATTCTGGAATTGATTGGGGCGTGGATGCGATTCAGAACATGTGTCCGTAAAAGGAAAGGAACATCTTCATCCAACACCCCAAAGACATCCTTCCCAACAGATCCAAGCACCCAAACACTTGGCAAAGCACCCAAACACGGGGGGGGCAGCATGTCCGGCAAAGGCCATCCGCATCCATCCGAGCTATTTGAGGTCGCTGCCTTTCCGGAACTCCTTCGCTTCCCGAACGGCCTCTCGGCGGCGGTTGACCCCACCCAGTTCGAGTTCGGCGAGTTCACGGGTGGGGGAGTTCTCCTGTCTCAACGGGACGGTTTTAAGGGGATTTGGATCAGAGAGATGTTTGTTCTCACGAAGCAGGCTTCACCAATCTAAAGAATCATAATCAGATTTGCAGGTGTTGTTTCTTTAAAATAAAGGGTCAATGGTATGTGGGATGCATGCGGTATGACAGGAACTCATGCGATTTGAATGATGATGAATGCTGCTGTGTTGCAATGCCCACTCGATTGATTTTTGCACGGTCATTTTAGACATGTTCATTTGATCCACTTGTACAACAGAAAACATATATATATAATATAGATAGATAGCATTGCATAACATTGTAACAAGCGCTCATTCATCTCTTGTGTTTTTTCAACTGAGATGATGACATCTGACATGATGACTGATGACTGACTGATGACTTTGTTTGGCAGGCTGGTCTCATCTTGGTTTCTGCCTTGTTTCTTTTCTCTCACTTTTCTACGCATCCTTGTGCAAAGGGAGTCACCGGTGGGTCTTAGTACCTGAGTACCTTCGTCACCTGAAATGGCCATCCAGACCAAGCAAAGTCAAATGTGCCTACACATGTCCAGTGAGCTAGGTTGAGCTCCACATCTCACCTCCTAGTTGATGCAAAACTTTGGACGAGGCCTGCGCAGACCACAGGCGATCACATGTCCTGCATATTAGCACATCTCCTTCTCAGGTGGCCTGTTCACTACTGGACCGGTGTAAGGACAATCGGGGGTCACCTCCTTCCACGATTGACGAAAGTTCACGTACTTTTTGCAATGTGCACATTTCACTGTCCATTTTTGGGCGTGCCATTTATGTCCGGTCCACACGAATTCAGGATCATTAGCTAATGCCCTCAAAAAAATCCGCCAGAGTGCGCCCTCCGGGCACTTTTAGGAAGGGCCATGACAAGTTTGAGGGGTTTCATGGTTTGGCCACCAGGGCACGCGCTCAACGGAGCAGCCACACGGACAGTGACAAATTCAAAAAAATTGTTTTGCAAAAGCGTCACACCTCACAAGCGCCTGAAACATAGGTTCCTGCCTGCGATGACTCCACCTCCAAACAATCCGTATGAATGTTTCCGCGGGTGCTTTTCAGACTAACACTCCCAGAGTTGAACACTTGCTTTCTCGTTTTCATCGAATGCAGCGCAGCTCTGGTGGTCATCGCACCGTTGTCATAGGAACAAGCAGGGTTCTTTTTAACAAACAGTTTGCAAGCGATCATGGACGTCTCAGCCTGAGTCACCGCACGGGTACAATAAATTTCCTAGTTCTTTCCAAACTTTTCGAAATCCATTTTCCTGGACCCTCCAAAGGGTGTCCAATGGACTACCCCACACTACCTATAGGCTTCCATTGGGCACCCCTTGGAGGGTCCTGGTTGGTTGACAACCAATCCAGATCCTAAAATGAAGTTCGCCGATGGGACTAGGGCTTGAGAATGCTTTAGGAGGGTTCCGCTGTGGAAAAGGTAAGGAAGGTGACCGCCCCTCCTTGGCTGGAAGAGGATGGACATGGATGGACCCTAGACGTTGGAAGGGTGACAAGGTAGAGACTATAAACAAACCCTTTAGGCCTCCAAGTACCCTCTGAGGTTCGGTGGGACTGGGGTGGGTGCCGGGAGGGTCCAGTCATCACTTCTGAAAAGGTATGTGGATCCCTAGGGAAAGGGTGTCTCAAAATCAGCGTTGAAGGTTTGTGGACGGCGATGTAAAAGGTGTTGTGACGTGGCCTTCGTGCAGTAACACAGCATAACATAGCTCAATCAATGGATTATCTGCAAAACCTTTCTTTGATCAGGTGCAAGAAGGTCATAGCATGTCATAGCCTTTATTTCAAGTTCCAGGGCCAACGGCTTTGGTTTGTTCAGTTGACTGTTACTGCGGTGGATTCCGCACCGCTGAGGAGTACGCTGATGCCTCGCCCCAGTGCATGTCACCGAATGGGGCCACGCACGAGGACTATGTCAAGAACTTGGAAGACTTCATGGGGATCCTGCAAAACCATGAGCAGGACACGCAGAAACGGACCGAGGGAATCGCGGTGACCATCCGAACCGTGTTTCGTAGACCATCCACAATATTCAATCTTAGCTACATATGCATTTACTTCCCCTAGGGCCCTAGGGCTCCAACCATCTCTTCGAAAGGTGGTTAGGCCCCCGAAATCCACCCCAACTATAGGCTTCCAGGCAGGGCAATTTTTGGAGGGTCCTGGTAGGCAACTATTTTCACACATGGGCCTCTTTGATATGGCAGCTCTAGACGGGTCATGTTTGGGACTGATCCACCTGGCTTTCACCCGCTGGGACGCTGGCGTGCCCAGGCCCGGCAGGAGCTCCAGCGGATCGTCCGAAGGCATCGGGATGAACCGCGCCGTGCTCGGTGCTGGAGGCTTTGGTGACCCACCCTTGGCCGCCCCGAACCCGAGCCGAGCCGAGTCCAGCAGCCGCCCAGTTGGTTCGCAAAAGCACACAAGCAATGGCATTCAATGGCACCCACGGGTTTTTGGAGGAATTCGGAGCGGATTTTGCCTGCTTTG